TGTGTGTGTATTTATACACACATATATGTATATTGAAAAAATGACCTAAACCAGAGCATAAAGGTTTAAACCCTTTATTGATTTAAGGCATTTAGGGCGTATTTTTTTTGTACCAAGTTAAACCAGCTTTATGCAAGTATTCCATGAATTAAAAATCAAGCAAAAATCACCATTAGTAAAAAACCTCTCCTTTGTCAGAAGGGAGAAAAAACAATAGCAGGGGAATTCCAAATACTTGACCTTGAGGGGTATGCACAAATAAGCCATCTGCTGCCTTTTATAGCTGTCCCTGTTAAAATATGTTGATCTGAAATGCCAGGAAAGGTGAGTGTGCTTTGCCTGCTTCTGTTTTTTTTATTCTTTTGTTTGCATGTTTTTTTTTCCTTTCCTAATTAGACATTTGGCATTTCTCCATTTGAGAATCTAGAAGAAAGCACTTCTGTGTTCTTTGGAGGCTGCCTGTGCATCTGTGGACATTTGCCTTCACTGGCATTGTGTAGTCCTTCCATAATCTTTCTGTCTTTGCTGTAGTTAGAGCAGATGGCAGAAGCAATGCCGCCAGGAAGAATCAAGGCAGATGTCCCTAATTTTTCTTTTTCTTGTAGTATATGTACTGCACACATAAAAAAAAAAATAGTAAAATAAAATAAAAACAAAGGCGGAGGGAGAGGGAAAAGAGGAAGGGAACGAAGAGAAAGCCATACTGGGCTTCAGAAGAGAGACCAGAGAGTTCCTGTTTCAGTGGTGCTCAGGATTTTCATGATCTGTGCCATATCCCTCTTTGGTACTTTCTCTCAAGTGCTGAAAACTACCATATTTAGTTATTCCTCATAATGCTTTCTCTAGCTCAGCTTTTCTTTGTAAAAGTGAAGAAGTGTATGTGTGGAAGAGAAACTGTTGAATATTCATATTGCAGCTAAAGGTTGGACTGATACAATAGCATGATAGTGTTTTTATTCCTACCCAAATAGTTGCTAATATTTCCTAACTGCTCTGTCACTAAGCTGATTTTTTAAACTGTGCCTAAATAATTCTTTAATGATTCTTCTTGTGTAGGTGGACTTCGTTTTGGAAATTTCATTGCTTTCTTACCAAAGGAAGAAGTTTGAGAGGATACATGAGAGATCTTTAGACTATAAATGTTAGGGTTTTTTTAATCAGAACCTAGTTTTTCTGTTTTTGTTCTGTCTTATTTCAGCACACACAACCCAATTTACTCAACCTGGCTGGTCGTATTTACAAGTGGATGGACACTTAGAAGGAGGTGGCAGCTTTGTAGCTCTGACTGATGGTCTGGGAAACCTTACAATTATCATTGAAACCATGGTAATGTGCTTCAAGATGGAGCGTGTTGTTATGGTTAACTTTGGATTTACTTGGTTCAATTTGTGTGAAAACTTTCTATGATATTTATAGTTTTGTTAGTTGGGTCCACAAGATGTCCTTTTTTCTTTCTAAGCTTGAATGGGCAGCTATCAGCATGTTCCTGATGGTAACTGTATCTTAATATGACAAATTAGCCTTAATTAGATGACTTTTCAGTAGGAAACTATATTGTTTTAAGCGGCATTCTAGGTAACTTTATTAAGTTATTACAATGGCAACTATTATTAAGATAGAAGTGAAATAGATTCAGTTTTCACTGTTTTTTTCATTGTTTTATTTGTTGTTGTCATCATTGGTATCTGGTGAATTCCAGAAATGTATATTTCTGATGTTACTTTTTTCCCCCAGAGTCATAATCACTCTCAGTGTATCAGGCCTCTCCTGCCTCATTTCAATGTGTCACCTCAGAGAGCAACTTTCTACCTCAAAGGCTCTTTTGTAAGTAGATACTAAATACATCCAGGCACTGCTGTAAAGTGAGTTGCTATCTATAGGCTGTTACACCTCTGGCACATTTTAAAGCCTGCTTTTACCATGAGTTGTAATGTCATAACTGAATTGGTAAAATTATTACAGTTCATCTGTATGCTGAGGGGAAAAAAATAGAAATGCATTTGGGATTTTTCTTCAGGATTTATTTCAAGGCTGATTGCACTTGCTTGCTGGCGTAGTTTGATTGACTAGTATAGTTGTGATATTTGTAGTTGCCATCAGCTCCTTTCCAGGGAACAACTGCAATCAGTTCTATGTTGTAAGACATGTTGTTGCATTCCATGAGGAGATATTCTGAGCATCTCCTGGGTTTTGTTGTTTTGCTAAACTGAATTGCACTCTAAAATGTGAATGAGGCTCAGATAGAGTAAACTCTAGTGTGTTTTATTAGTAGCTGTTTTGAATAATTGCTCTCAGAAGTTGGAAGTGTTTAAATATTTGGAGTTTGACTTCTGGTATCATTAGACTTTCTTCATTTAGAAGGAGATATTTTGAATGGTGTGCTGTGGCAATAAAATGGTTTGTTTTGAGTATACAGTTCCCTTTAGGGAAAGTGTCAGACAGCTTATCAAAAACTCTAGATCGCCTTGTTCACTGTTCTGTGCAACTAAAAAAATAGCAGGGACTGTGTATGTAAAATCAGTAACTAATGTAGTTGATATCCAAACTCCTGTGACGGTGGATATTTATAAGCAACAAGCTCAGTGCAGAAATGAACAGCAAAGAACCAGATTTCATTAAAGCAAAATTAGCATGAGACTGGCTCAGGCTGGTTGCTCGTAGGCCTAGAGTTTGCATCAAGCAGATACTGTCACTGATTGATAGCAAAGGTATGTGTGTGATCACATTGCCTTCCATCTTTGTAAGCAGTATTATTGCATGTGGGGACAAAGACTTATCCACCTAAGTCATCTGCAGAAAGTTAATCTGTGTCATGGCTGGCTAGATAAATGGAGTGGTGGCTTCCCATGACATCAGTAGACCTAATGAGAGGTAGATACCCTTAAGGGCTGGATATTTCTAAAGGTAGATGTGTAAGGACTTTAAAAAAAAATGTGTTATGTTTCATTGCAGTATATGTTGAAAACACTTCAGGTGTGGTATTCTAGGCTTGGCTTTGAATCTGTACAGTCTACTCTTTTCCAGCAACTCCATCCTATAAAGGTAAGTGGATCCATTTTAATTCTCTATAATCATTTTGCTTTTAAGAATGATAATGGAAAAACTTTTTTCTTTGATTTAGAATATAGAGATACAAAATAAAAAGTAGGATTCCTATATATCAGAATAATCTAAAGTAACTTGTTTTGGGCCCTTCTGGGTGTGCCTTCAGAGAGAAGTTTCATGATGGTCTGTGTGTGTTCATAAAAAAATGTTGAGTAGGCTACTGATACTAATTGTGCAGAGGCAGATGCATCAGTGCTTTCTAACAGGTATGTGGTTTGAGAGTAACCAATTACGTGGCTCAAATGTGTTAATAATCTGTTACCTTTTTCCATTTTCTGCCTCACCTTATTCTAAACCTGTGTATTAACAATATAATAAAATGCTAGTATGGCAGACCCAAGCATTGTTTGTCTAGTTAACAATGTTTACACTCATCTATCAAGTTGTTAGTGCTGCTCTGATTTAGCCTTAGAATTCATGCTACAGGAGGATTTGCAAGATCATAGCCATAGTATTTCTCTAGCCCGATGGTCTGATTAAGCTCCCCACTTTCTACCCTCTCTGCATATGTTTTTTCAAATCTTTGAGACCTGCATATTTTCTGGGTGCAATTGAAAGAAATATTCTGGACTAAAGAACCCCTTTTGAAATTACACCTGTACTGTCCAAAGTAGTGAAGATAAGGAGTTCCTCACAAGCTTGGTAAAAATGCACTTTCCCGTGTTATTTACTAATGACTGATTATGTGTGTTGCTTTAAGAGTAAGGAATATAGGCTTGCCTATGACTTCATTTAAGTCCTGCCCACAAATGAGTATTCCTGCAAGTTGATCTGATTCCCTCCCTGTTTGCTGAAAGTCCTTCTCTTTCATGCCATAATTAAGGCACATTGCAATTTCTCCCTTTGAGTACAATTTTACTAGCTCTACCAAACTTATCTGAAGAATGTTACAAAGATTAGGGAAATGATTTGAATATAGTTTGGAGGACAAAAACACTGAGACAAGAAGGTTGGACTTTTACCTTAAATCAGGATTTAAGAGGGTCTCTTTTGACTCAGAAAGTTGGATATATTGTTATTTAGTACTGTTTGATCTTTTTTGCAGCTTGATTTCTTTAATTCCAGGTCTGGAGGGGAAGCTTTTCTTTAGATCTAAATGTGGATGAAGTCTACACTCTAACCACGCTCAAGACAGGGAAAAAATGCCTTTGCTCAGACCCACCGCCATCTCAGCCCTTTCCTTCTAATTACAAAGATGACTTCAATATTCGTAAGTTTAAATTCCCTGGTTCAGAAACTTAATTTAGATATAGTCTCTAGATAGGCTGCAACAATTGTGGTATTTGAGACATTGGTGTGTGTGCGTAGACTTGAAGTAATATGCATGTGTGTTTTATATTTACGTATTTATACCTGCTTCTCTTGACAGTTTACACCTGCCCACTTCATTTACAAGCAGGTGCATTTTAATACTGGGATTTAGCTGTGTGGCCACCAGATGTTATAAAATTCTTGACTTGAATGATAGACCTCATAAACATAGTGAAGTAGTTTTTGGAAATAAGGAGGAGAAAAAGGTAAAAAGGTGGTTTGTTTTGCTTCTGCATATGTAAAAACTGGGGCCTGCTTCAAAACAAAACCCAAAACCCAGCAGAGCTCCCCAGCCCCCCAAAATTCAGGTCAGTTTTGGAGTCTGCCATATGATGAAGTGAATCAGAGATATGGAGACTTATCTTCAGAGGAACTTTCAGAAAGCAAGGGTAGGCTGAAGAAAAATTTTTGTGTTTTATCTCTTGCTTTCTGAACAGGTAATCCACCTTTCAGCGAAGCTCCGAATTTTGCGGATCAGACAGGGGTATTTGAGTACTTCATAAACACTTCTGATCCAGGAGATCATGTGTTCACTCTCCGCCAGGTGGTAGTTCAGCGACCCATCACTTGGGCTTCTGATGCAGATCAAACCATCAGTATCATAGGAAACTTTAATTGGTATGTAACCACTGTTCTGTGATGATGCCTAGGAAGATGCCCTCCTTATGGGTATGGGCTTTGGTTGCTTCACACGTTCCCAGCCTTCCCTCTCTTGGACAGGGTGTTTATGTGTTCAGACTGTAGAAGAGGTGACTGAAAGGGACTTCCAGAGCCCAGCTGGAGGCAGGGCTATGTCCGATAGACACAGATTAGCTGTTTCTGTCTAGATGAGTCTTGAAAACCTTTACAAATGGGGATTTTCTCAACGTTTTCTAGTGTTGCGATGTCTTCCTAGTGGAGTTTTTTCTTTTCTGTTATTCTCTTGGGCATTATTTGTCCAAGGTGTCTGAGTACAGTGGCTGCCCTGTGATGACTTAATAGAAAGCAGTAACTTGGGTAGAGTCATAATTCTAAGTGTGCATTGAGTTTCAGTGTGCATTTTAAATGGGAAAAAAGATTAATTCAATTTAAATTACATTATTTGGACAAGCAATATCATTCAAAACTTGATTGCCTAGTGATTTGATTAGTATTGTATCAAGAAGAATGCAAGAAAAGGAAATGCAAGGAAATAATTTAGGAGTTAATTCAGTTACATTTGTTTGAAGACTGCCATCTTCTGAGCGGTCTCTGAAACTGTGAATTTGATTAAGCTGCTACAAAGAACAGTTGCACTTCTGCCTGGGAAAGCTCTGTGGTTGTACTGCTCTGTTAATGTTTTGTTCTGATAATTTTATTGAACATACAGCTAGAAGTTGTATCTATATAATACCATTTTGTTGCACATCACTTCAGACTTGGGATTCTGCTTTTTTACTCTTACACATACATTAGTAAAATAAATTATTTCAATTTTTGTAAAGACCTTGTACTGCAACTTCAAGAGAAAAAAAAGTGTAGGTCTTCCAGGTGCCATTTGATTGATGTGTTTTTTATTCTCCTTTTCAGCTGTCATCCTGTGCCCAGCTTGGTGCTTTACGGGTGTGCTCAGGTGTTGCTGTTGCACAGGAAAATCAAATGAATGTAACTTAGTGTTAGTTAATTTGCTTGATACTCATATATCAAATTATATTCATATATTCAAAATTTGTTTGGACAAGGCCTCTGGGTTTCCTGAGGCTTGACCTGTATTTAAAAACCCTGGACAAATGAACATGAAATTTTAGCTGCTATGACTTAAAATCTTGGAATTACTGTAGACATCTAAGGAAGTAGTTTCTAACTCATCATGAGTTTCTAACTCATTTGCAGACCTGACTGTTTTCCTTTGGAGGTGCAAATCTTTGTGTAACAAACAGACAATCTTTGCTTATAAGATGCTTATTTTTGTTGTTCTTTGAGAAGAAGAATTATTTAGAAGATGCTCTATAAACTTTTGAGTGAAGAACTACCCCAGTCAATGCAAGTAATTGGTGAAGATGGATCTGTCCATCTCCACTCCTGGTAGCCATTAGGGTGGCTAAAGGTTTTCTCAGAAAGATGTTTTTTTGAGGTTGTTATGTAGAGAAAGGTTTTTTTACCTCCTGCCTCCTCAAAATCTATTCTTAGCTTGACAAACCCTATGCTTTGCTTGCAGGGAGAACTTCACAGTCACTTGTGACGTCTACATAGAACAGCCGCGTGATGGAGGGGTGTTTGTTGCAGGAAGAGTTGACAACGGGGGGATTTATGTTCGCAGCACCAAAGGGGTTTTCTTCTGGGTTTTTGCAGATGGCACCTACAGAGTCACTGGTGACCTAGGTAAGCAGCTGTTTGCTAAAGCACATGATGACACATGGAGGTCTCACCTTGAAAACCTTCTAGAAATCTGAAGATTTAAAAAAAAAATAAAAATAAAGAAATGCAGATTTCACACCTCAGTTGCTGTCACTGAACTTAACCTGCTGTCCTCTAATGAGGGGAATATTCTGTATGCAGATGGAGCACCTCAAGGCAACTGGATAATACAATTATCTGCAGCTTTTGGGATATCTTTTTGTTGACAAAACCCATTTTAAAATAGTAGTTCGGGTAATTTACTTTGCTTTTTTAAATATGTTGCTAGAGTGGCGACAGTTTTAGAAAGGTTAGATTCTTATGCTGCACCTAAAAAGAAGCTGTCTTTGAAAGTGGTGGCCACTCACTCAGCAGTGCAAGTCAGTATGAGTAAATCTGTTTCAGATGATGAGTGGCCTGCTGTTCCACAAGTTGTGCCTTATACTCTTGTCAGTCTAGTTCAGTGGAGACAGAGCATGTCCTGCTTGTAATGCTAGTGCTCGTATGTTCACCTGTGCAGAACTTGGGAGGCGCACAAAAGACTATATGTTTTGATATACTAGAGCAATAAGTTCATTTTTAACTTGCTTGGAAACGGTGGCAGATTTTGTTGGTATAAATGTCACTTCCTATCACTTCATGAGCATAAATTATGGCTTCCAGTGATTCCTGGAAATGCAATTTAATGGTTTGTTTCACACTGCACAGCTGGACCTTAACAATATTCTCCTCTTCTGTTTGGTTATTATTCCTCATTTCTATTTCTTTTTTTTTCTATTTTCTTCCCTTAATAGTGAGCAGGTAGAACAGAAAAGGCATCACGTCATCTCTTCTTAGCATAATATTGCAACCTCAGAAGCTTCACAATCGTCTAACTCCAAAACAATTTAAGTTTCAGCTATATAAAAATATGAATACATTAAGGATGGAGTCAAGTATTTATTTTTAATAGAACATGGCAACATTGCCCAATTAGTTTCTTAGACTGTCAAGAGTAATTTTCCTAGCTGAAATGAGGGAAAATTGATTAACCAGCTCATTATTTCAGATTGGGATGCTGGTTATGCAAATGATTATTTTTCTCCACAGCGATTTTCACTGTTTTTATTTCTAGAAGATTGTTAATTTCATATTCAGGCTCTGTACTGAATAATTGAAGATGCTGCTTGTTGCGATTTTATTTTTCTCCTAGGTTTTCCATCCAGGTGTCAGTTGCACCTGATTTTGCTTTGCTTAAATTTTGACTAGAACTCAGCAACTTGCTGATGTGATGCCTCAAACTCAGGAAAGCAGAAGCTGTTTAAAATGGAACTAATGCATAAACAAGGACACTTGTGGAACATGCAGAGCAATAGCTACTATCACAGTTTATGAAACTATATTCCTGTTATGGAATATATATTCCTGTTATGGGGTATCCTTATTTTAGTCCTCAGTAGCTTTTTAACCCTTAGATTTCAGTGGTGAAACAGTCCTGACAAAACAGAGGAATGACACTGGCAGTGCAGAGTTCAGCTTGTGTGTTAATGCCTTCATGTGGCAGTTGAAATCCATAAGCTCTGAAACACCTCTGAAAATGGGATATTAGTTTCCTCCTGCTACTTGGTATTCAGCTATCAGCCTTGTAGCATGGGTGGGAAGTGGCACTTGGCTCACCTCAGACGTGTTTTGCAGCTGGAGAGGAGATACTGATGAAAGGACTGTCTGGTGTCCGGGCCCATGCGTGGCACACACTAACTCTCAACATCCAGGTAAGGAGACGTGGGCGGGTTAAAAGACCAATTGACTCCCTGTCTGCATCAAAATGAAATATCTATATTTCTACTTATTATTTGAAATTAATATTAGAGTGTCTTAAGAAGTTTAACTCAATGTAATTCTACAGAGATCTTGAGAAACTGGAGAGGGTATAGACCACAAAGATGAGTTGAAAGCTGTGAGCAAGTGGGATAGAGCTGTAAACAGGTTGCTTGTTGCAGTAGTCTATTTTAGGTATTGTCACCACCCCCCATTCTGTTTGCATGCTAAGGCCTTGTAAATGGAGCCACTTAAGCACCGGGGAACTGAGAGGATTGGAATATTGGAAAATATTGGAAGGTTTTTATCCACTGCTATTTAGTGGAAAACATTAGCATGATAAATCAAGTGACTTTTACTGAAATTATTTTTAATGACAAGATTATACTTGAAAGTTAGGCTGTCTCCTCTTCCTCTTAGATTAGTGACTAAAATCTGTTGTCCTATGACTTTGCATTAAATCTGAAGAATAAATGCCGACTGTATCACACCCTAGAAGGACTCTCTGCAGTCGGGTAGCTCTAGTTTTGCTGCTCTCCCAAAGACAGATGGCCTGTTTGAGAGAGCCTGATGCAGATGCAAGAGGAAAATCCAGTTCACCTTTCAGAGTCTTCAATGAATTTACAAAGCTGTTGGGTAAAAATGAGCCTTTCATATATTCACTGTGAGTGCATCAGTTCTGTTTCACAGGGCTGAGAGGCCCTGGATATCTGGAGGCACCTTTGCATGGAAAATACACAAAGTGTAATTGAAAGTTCACTTAATGGCTTTGTGAGTGTAATCACCCTTATGCCATGCAAGATGGCCCCATGCCAATATATTTAGTCCCTGGATTTTACAAGGTTCTTTCCTTTCTTTTTGACAGGGCACTTCTGCGTGGGGGCTGCTGAACGGTTACCCGCTGTGGGAGAACGTCACGGTCACCAAGCCGAGCAGCGGCTGGGCTGCGATCGGGACGCGCTCCTTCGAGCTTGCCCAGTTTGACAACTTCCACGTTGAGGCCAGCTGAGGTGGCGCTTGTGTGGGGGGAACCCAGCTCTGATTACTCTGGATTAGAGCCCGCTCAAACTTTGAGGACAATTTAATGCTATGTTGAGACTGATCTGTTGGCAGGGAATCCACATTCTGTCCTTACTATTTATTAGAGGTTTACTGGAGGAGTAGGTGTCAACGTGACTGTAACTCCATCCCCCTGATTGTTCTGGGGTTTTTACTCTTCAATTTTTAAGGTTTAAATATTCAATTATAGGTTTAAATATTTTTGAATAGCAAGGTCTTAACTTCCTGAGCTTTTTAGATAGCTTTAGAAGGACGATGTGATTTTTTAACACTTTCATGATTGTGTCCGTTCCTTTCACTCTCCAAGAATTAAATGCCAGTAAAGTCTAATGAGCCTGTGGCCCCATGAAGTTGTGGACTGTGGTTCTCAGATTTCCTTTACACAAAGCACCTATTCTTGTATGTTTTTCTAGACTGCAGTTGGAGACTAGGCGATGTAGTACTTCAAGTGCATTTGATGATTTCTTCCAGTATCATAACTTGTGACCAATCAGGCAATGCAGGATGTGCCTTAACTTCAAGCTACCTCTTCTGGAATGAAAGGATTGAAACGAGTTGTTTAGCTTGCACTCCTTGTGTTTTTCTTTGCACAATGTAAAGGATAAACTTTTGTGACGCTGTCATCAACTCATACCTGCTGACAAGCAGAGCTCTTACATTTATGTCAGATCACATGTGAAAAATTAGCCTTTTGTTCCTAAAGCTGCAGCCGATCCTCTTTCACCTGAGATGGAACTTACCTTAGAGCAAAAAATAATTAAAGCACAACTGTGTGCAATTTGTTTTTTTTGTTTTTTTGTTTGCCCTTAAGAACTTGCCATCTATCCTTGTTCAGATTTTTGCTAGGCCTTACCAGAGGAGGCCTAGAAGGAATTTCAGATCCTAGGATCCTAGGGAAAAAGATGACTGGGAGACTGATTCCACTGTTCTGTGCCTCACTTAATTGGTTTTCCAAGGTATGAAAAAAAATACCTTAAATGTAATGAAAAATAATGAGCCCTGAAAAGGCTTTTATTACCCTTTTACCAAATTCCGTTGGTTTCTGAATTTATTTTACTGTTTTTCTGTTGGTCAGTTTGAGTGAAGAGGATGGACATCTTTTGCCATTGCAAGACATCCCTCCTGTGTCTCTCACTTCACTTAGAGCTCCAGTTTCAGACTTGGTAGGGCACTCCGACCTGTATGAAGCTTTCAGTAGCAGGCAATATCTTATCTTGAGAAGCATATTTGCAGTATATCTTGATTTATACTGACATTACTCCGATTCACATTGTTTTGAAGACTGATTCCTGTAAGCATTAACTTCAGTATCTGTTAATCTAAGATAGATTTAATATAATCAGAATTATTGGAAAATTATTATAAAGGTTATTTTTCAAATTGTCTTTGGGAGAAGAGATCTCGAAATTCCATACTGGAGAGAGATGAATGATTTCCCCCCTCCTAGCAATTACACTGCGAGCCCTATTGATTGATAATGGATCTTTACATATAAAGCTGTATAGCTCCATGTAAAGCTGCCATGCCTATATGGTACTAACCTTGAACAACAGTCTACAACACTAAACTTTAAAACTCTTGTTTAAAAAAATAAAAGGTTCTGAATATTAAGCCGTTACCTGTTGAACTGGGTGGGAAATGAAAGCCAATTTTCTGCTTCAGTTTCACCCTGGCATTTGATGTGTGGATGCAGGTCTGTTGGTTACCTTTTTAGCTTCAGAAGGGACATCCAGATGGGGAAGTCCAGATGTGAAGGAATCAGATTTTAGGCCCTCATTTTAAAATAGTATAAATACAAGAGAAAATTCTCCAAAATAAACTGTTTTTAGGTGGGATACATTTGCTCAGTAGGAGATCTCTTGAAGACTTGGTAGCTTTTGTGGACTGTAAACTGTCTGTGTAAGGGATTAACACTGGTACAAGTACTCCAAAGGAGAGGTCCAGCTCCTTACCTTTTGATGCACTAGTTTAATTGTTTTGTTGTTACACTGTGTACTAAATGTAATGTATTTTGTCACTGAAGCGTTGATTTTTTTCTAAAATCTTAATTTATAAAGGTAGAGGATTAAACAGTTTTGAGCAGAGTAGGCAATTTAATGATGATAGAATGTTGTTTGTCTTTATATGTCTGTAATTCTTCACCCTTCAGCAGTTTGTAATGTGCCTGGCAATAACAAGCTGTCAAGCCTTTTCATTGAGGGGTGGATTTATGTCATTGATTATAAATACTAATCATTCCAAATGGACAAATAAAACACCTAAAACCCCCGTGTTTGTGCAGAGTGATTCTGTAAATGGGTCTTGGTATCCTCTAGCAAGACATTTGTCAGTGTTTCTGTTGTGGTTCATGATAAATGTGCTTAATATCAGGTGAACGGGACTGGAAGTCTTTCTGACACTCTGAATAGCCAAGCAGGCTTCATTAGCAAACACCTCAAAACCCCTGTATGTTAATGTTTTTGCTGTTCAATTTTTAAGTCCTTTTTGTAGCTGAATTACATATCTCTTCCTGAGCCCTTTTTATTTGGTTGGGAAGACTGTTTTTGAGGGCCAGTCTTGCAAATTTGTTTGATAATTGACTAAAATTAGCAAAGGCTTTAGTTATGGAAACAATTGGTGCTGTGAAGGGTATGTTTTAATGTTTAGATTTACTTTCTTCTAGTGAATCTAGTTTGACACTTGCCCCCACCCTGCCCTTACCTCAGCCTCAGGGTTAAAAGGAGAGGAGCAGTCGGGCAGAGCCAGCTGTGCCGTGGGCATGGTGGGCCCTGGAATCACAGACTTCAGCAGCCTGGTGTTGAGGTGTCGCTGCCACCACCAGCAGCACGAAGGTGTGTGGGCCCTGCCACAGGCGGCAGCGCTTCTGTCACCCACTTTCACTTCAGTTCCACAAACACCATGTAAATCAGCTGTCCCCTCTTCCCTGCCATCCCGCCCTTGAGCTTAGCCAATATGGACAGTTCCTTTCTTTATTCAACTCTGTGCAAAGCACTCAAAAAATAACTTTGCTTTAAAATTATAGGAGACTGTACTGCTTTTGCTGGGCTACCCGTGGTTCTTTTTGCAGCTTTTGTTGGCAGTATCAAAAATAAAGGATTTGGTGTGGAGCAGGAGGAGAAAACCCATGTACAAATGCATTTTTGTGAATCTGATATTTAAATTCTTTTTGTCCATTGTCTTGAACATTGTGTTTTGTGTCCCTCTTGCTCCTGTTTATTTGTCATCTTCCCCGCCCCGGCATTTTGGCAGTATGTTAACCCTTTACAATTACATGCTTTCAAAGTTCCTTTCCGAGAAATCCCTATAATAAATGGAAGCCACCTATTTTTTCTAGTTAAGTAGATTGCAGTAGATTGCAAGCTATCTTAAATCAGTCTGCAAACTGATAGATGATGAAAAACTCTAAGATGAAAATAAGAAACTTTAGTTTTATAATTTTAATAAGATAGGCATAGTTGGGTTCTTTCTGGTTGGTTTCTGAGGTAAATACTAATGCAAAGTTTATTACTGTTCCGTGAATCTACCTTTTTCCGAGCTTTCTCCCCTTCCCTTTCCCCCGTTGATTCACATCTTTTGCGTGGTAGCAGAAAGCTGGTGGTTTTCACCTAGTTGTTTTCACTGCCCCCCTCCCGAGATTGCCGTGTAGAGCCCACTTTCTGGAGGGACGTGCACGCTACCAGAGCGGCCGCCGTTCGTGTGGAAGCTACGGACAATTTCAGCAGAGCAGTCAAAGGGGAGCAGTGCTTGGGGATGTAACTGCCCTCCCTCTCATCTTTGGGTCGGTCTTCTGCAGGTAAGGAGCCAGGTATGTCAGCATGGGGGTGTGTGTGGGGGGGAGGCTCTAAAGTTTTCCTATTTCTTCTGTAGTTAAAGAGGGACTGTAATTCTTCCAGCTAAAGCAGCTAAAAGGCTGTCCCCTTCATATCTACTGAATTCATGTAAGACTAGCACATGCTTTGGGGGAAAGAATTCTAAAAGAATCTGGTTTTAATACAGTTGCTAAACTGTTTGCAGTAGAACTAGCAGGTAGTTGCTCTAAGGTTTTGGGTACATTATACCTGGGCACTTGAAGAGAAATACAGCATTGCAATTAATGCCAGGACTTCCTGAAACACTGGAATAAAATACCAATGCTATCTGGTATCTTAACAAAGCTATCTTGGGTGTAGGTTGTACGGCTTTTGTGCATGCTTGGAAGCTTTAGTAATCATCCTGTCTATATTGGTAATGGATTAAAAATTAGTATCGGCAAATTCCTTTTTGCACTAAGTGTTCCTTCCAGTTATTAATGAGCCTGTGCTCAGACGTCACCGAAACAATAAAGGTTTTTGTTCATAGGCTTTTTTAACCCTAGAGATAATTGAGCAGAGGCAAATGTGTGCTGCAGAAATGCTGCCAGACTTTCACTGTGTCCCAAGATGCTTCTGTTTTCTCACAGCAAAAAATACGACACTGAAACAATCTTCATCCCCAGAGGAGTTGTAAATGGATAAGTTTAGAGAGACACACACATTCCAAAAATCAATTTTTGTCAGTGGGCCTCAAGTAACTTTAAATCTGTCCTTCGCTGCTTCTGCTTATTTCCAAAATAAAGCTTAAAACCAGCTATATCTCTGAAAAATAGAGACAGAAGTAACCTAAAAATGTTTACTAAAGTGTAAGATGGAATGACTTCTTAGAAAATAAATACCTTTCCTTTTGGTGTTAAGTGTGGCTATCCAGAGTTGATACTTTCCTTGGAACAGGAACGTAGTTATTTCTGCTTTGTGTTCATGGATACCCTTCTGGGTCCAGGACTGTAGCAGAGAATGGGTCAGTGTGGTACAAAATCAAGGTTTTGCAAGAGAAAATGCAATGTGCAGCACTAGGCTGATGCTGTTCAGCTTTGCTGTGGGAGCCCTTGATAGTCTAACAGACTATCACCACCCAAAGGACCTTAAAACGAAACCAAGCTCTATCTTGTGTTCCCCAAAAGTATGAGGAAAAGCAAAGAATTAGATTTAGCTTGAACTCCTTTGTTAAATTTCTGCTGGAAAGTACAGTCATCTTTCTTGCTGTGGTTTTATTAAGAATATTTTAATTGAAATGCCCATAGAAAAAATAAGGCTTTATTGTTGCTGAAATAAACTACTGTTGTTCAGCTAACTATAAACACTGGTGCCTTTTTCCAAGAGCATAAATTCCCCTGCTGCTTGCTTTTCGTGTGTTAAGAGCACTTGATCTGTGATCAGAAAAGGTTAAAACCCACAGCACAGGGTTGTGCTGCTGGACATCAGGCCTGTAGTGTGTGCATAGGTGCCTCTCCTGTGTGCAGAAGGTGTGTTCTGTGCAAGCAGAGCAGCCAAGCTATAACAAAAGGAAAAATGTTTCCTTTTCCACTTCTGCAATTTGTTTTGGGAGGTTCGGGAAGCTTGGGTAGGTACGTCAGCTGTTCTGAGATCTCACAGGAGAGGCTCTGTAGCCTCATAGCTTGATTGTGCAGAGTGATTCGAGCCGCTTTAAAGAGCACACAGCAATGACAAACAGCAAATCCTATTAAGGATGTCCATATTCTTTCTAATGTGATTGCTCCTGTTGTGGGAGCAATAAATGGTAGTGTTCACTGGCAAGAGATCAGACAGGTTTTGTGCTGAGCTGAGGTGCACGCTAATGTCTCAGCATAGAAGTCTATAAAGCTGCTTTGGGATGAACAATGTCGCTGGCATAAGGTGCTTGTTTCCTATTCTGTCTGAGAGGGCTGCTTAATGAGTCAACTTGATTTGGTTTTTTTTTTTTTTTTTGCTTGCTTGTCTTTCAGTTGATAGTTTGTCCTAATGTGTGGTGTTGTTTTTTGTCTTTTTTTTTTTTTTTTTGCCAGCGTTATATGTGATTCACTTAACTCAGCAGGGCAAAGTCTAGGAGGAGGAGGAGGAAAAGATCTTGTTGGTTCATTCAGCCCATCTCCTTGCCAAATGAAAATTATTCCCTGTTGTACCTGTTTGAGCCTTTCCTTAATTGAGAGCTGATGCATAAAGGGAGGGCTTCCATTCTGCTTTGTAGATGGCTATTGTTTTAAAACAAACAGAACCACTGCTTGCTTTCCTCATCTGTGTAACACAAGGAAATTTCAATTTTTTTCCCCAATTCATGATAGAAACAAGGTTGATACAGGAAATATTCTGAAGCATCTGTTGAGTTCTAATTATTTCTATCTATAGATGTAAAAATCTAATATTTACCTGTGCAGCCCTTCATGTAACATCCAACTGACTATTTTGGTAGACAAAATACCTTAACTAGTGATGATTGCTTTCGCAGGAGTATCATGTCAATGGTGAAATCCTACTTCCCAAGCCAGTAGGAATGGCTGGTGCCGTCCTAGATTTAAGTGCCATTGCTAGATTTAAATAATTTCCTTTTACTGGCAGTTCTAATAGATACCCGTAACAACAATTTCTCGCTAAAATGTAGATATATTCGGTACATGTCTTTGTCCCTTTCTCTCCTCACTCAAGTACTTAGATGAAAACGCAATAATCTTGGACTTTTGTGCATTTCAACCTTTTGGTTAAGCTGTTAGAGCTATTTTCTTGTGCTTTCTACTTCACTGCATTTGCCTACTATAGTATAGTGCACAGAACAGGTTTTCACTGTAACCTGATTTTAGTGATTAATAGAACACATGTGAACTAGGTGGTGCATGGATGGGTTAGCAGGACCCCATAGGCAAACAAACACTGATCCAGCTGCCAAGGCACCAGAAACCTTACCTGTCTCAGCCATACAGAGTGGCAGTAAGACGGCATCTTCTCTGCTGATAGTAAAGATGTAGGGTGCCTGTCTTTTCCCCCTCGCATAGGGAGAAGTGAATGCTGATTTTTCTCTGCCTTCTTCATGCATCTTAACCTCCCAGAAGTCAGGCTGGTTCCTGAGCACTCTTTCATTACAATCATTTGTTAATGGTCATTTTCTTTT